GCACACACACGCGCGCACACACACACACACACACACACACACACACACACACACACACACACACACACACACACACACATACACACACACACACACACATACACACACACACACACACACACACATACACACAAACACACACACACACACACACACCTGATGATGAAGTCATGGTCCAGGTGAGTTCGTGTTTGTCTCTCACAGATCATCCTTGCCATCATGTTGGTCTGGCTCGTCTGTTACGTCCTCACTCTGACCGACCTGTTGCCAAGCGACCCTGATCGCTATGGACACAAAGCTCGGACCGACGCTCGAGGTGACATCATGACTTCATCACCCTGGTTCAGGGTACCCTACCCCTGTAAGTCAGCCAATTACAGGCCTCACTGATCTCCATGGGTGTGGTTTTCCCCCATTACAGTTTGGATGACCTCACAACAACTGTCTAATGCCAGCTGTTGTTTTAGTCACAGGTTTTAGTGTCATCATTAGCTACCGTTTGCTAATGTGAGCTAACAATGTTAGCTTCTCCCACGGTACAATCCTACATTTAGCTAATTGAAAGTTTAGAGCAGGTTCATTCATGTGTTTGTTCTGTTTTCAGTGATGTTTCCACCTTTACACAAACAGGTCAGGGGTCAGAGGTCATGATGATGATGATGATGATGATGATGGGTCTTTGACTTCCTGTCCCTGCTCCCTCCGGTGTCTGATAGGTCAGTGGGGGTTGCCGGTGGTTACGGTTGCTGGGGTGTTGGGGATGTTAAGCGCAACCTTGGCAGGAATTGTGGAGTCGATTGGAGATTATTACGCCTGTGCTCGTCTGTCTGGAGCCCCAACCCCTCCGGTCCACGCCATAAACAGGTGAGACAGGAAGTAAACAGGAAGAAAAGCTATGTTACCTGTCAGAGCCCACACACACACCAACAGGTGTTTGTGTGTTTCAGAGGGATCTTCACTGAGGGTGTTTGTTGCATCATCGCTGGACTTCTAGGAACAGGAAATGGCTCCACCTCCTCCAGTCCAAATATAGGCGTTCTTGGCATCACCAAGGTAACTGTGGCCAACGGGTAACCAAGGTAACTAGTCCTGCACCTACTGGTTCTAGGCCAGAGGCGACCGACTGGTGGGTTACTTGCTGATGCTCCTCAGTTCATTGTGTGGATGTTTGGTTCACTGAACTCTGTGCAGGTGGGCAGCAGGCGGGTGGTGCAGTACGGCGCCGGCATTATGTTCCTGTTGGGATCGATCGGGAAGTTTACGGCTCTCTTCGCCTCGCTGCCGGACCCGATCCTCGGAGGGATGTTCTGCACACTGTTTGGTGAGTGTCACTATAGGTGTGTTAGTGACGTCACAATAATCCAGGTGTGTCCCTCAGGTATGATCAGGTGTGTTAGTGACGTCACAATAACCCAGGTGTGTTCATCAGGTATGATCACAGCTGTTGGTTTGTCCAACCTGCAGTTGGTCGATTTGAACTCGTCTAGAAATCTGTTCGTTCTTGGGTTCTCTGTGTTCTTTGGTCTGACGCTGCCGACGTACCTGGACTCACACCCCAATTCCATCCAAACAGGTGAGTTCTGACAGGTGTAGGTCTGACGGATGTAGATCTGACAGATGTAGATCAGCTCTCTCTCTAGATCTGACAGATGTAGATCTGATAGATCAGTTTTGTGTGTTCAGGTCTGGCAGAACTGGATCAGATCCTTACAGTTCTTCTGTCCACTGAGATGTTCGTTGGAGGTTTTTTGGCTTTCTGTCTTGACAACACAATACCTGGTAACACACACACACACACACACACACACACACACACACACACACACAGTCAGTTTGTGTCCATATTAAACAAATGTTCATCAATTAACTTTGGAGGTCTTGGTAGATTCCAGTGTTTCTACTAATCTAAGATAAGCTAATCACTTCTGTACCTCATCTCACTGCTGAATACGATGATCTGAACGTCAGAGAAGGGTTCATAAAATGTGCCACTGTGACTTTAAGAGACACAGTGAGAGCTGCTCACACACACACACACACACACACACACACACACACACACACACACACACACACACAGCTGTTGCCGTGGGCGACCGTGTTGAGTGAGATAAACAAACAGGATGTTTTCTTCTTCTCTGTGTTTAGGTTCCCGACAGGAACGAGGTTTAGTCGAGTGGAGATCTTCTTCCTCCTCCTCCTCTTCCTCCTCCTCCTATGACCTTCCTTTGGGGATGGGCGTGGTCAGGCGGACTCACTGGCTCAGACGGTTTCCGATCAGCCCCTCTTTCAGAGGTTTCAGGGCATCTGACGACCCACCGACACCTGAGGAGGAGGTGGAGGAGGAGCAAGGAAGAGGGGGAGAGGCAGAGGAAGCTGCTGACGTCCACCTGCCCAGCACTAAGGTGTGACTGTGATGTCATTAGTCACACCTGTGAGGTGACTGAACCAAATCAGAGCAGCAGGAAGCTCTTCTGTTCAGGTTTTACTTTTTCATTCACAGACATTTGATCACATCAGATGACTGATCGATCAGCTGATTCGATCAATTAGCATGATGTCACAGCCCGTTAAACAGAGGGACGATGTACTTCAGCCTCTGTTACCATGGCAACCAGATTAGCAGTACACCTACAACAGAAGCGCTCAGTGTTTTCATGACTTTTATTTATGACATCAAAAAATGTATTTATTACACGTGTGAGAAAAATATCTAAAGTGAAACAGATTTTTATCGTCGTGTGTTTGATTCACTGAGGATGAAAAACCTTTGGTCAACAACAACAATAATAATGAGCGAAATGTTAGTGATGTATATTATTTGTTTCTATCTTAGTTTCCACTAAATATTTAATTCATATGTGAAGTATCATGGAGTCACAAATGTATGTAACAAGTTAATTAAGTTTTAAATATATTTTAATCAATAATACATATATATGACTGTTAAGATCACATTCACTGAAATAAATGACTGATCTGAAATCAGACCGTTTTTATGTTTTTAAACACCAAGTTAAACACTGAAGATTCATCAGTTGTTCATATAAAACAGAGAATCATCAGCATAAAAACAGACAAAAGCTTCCAGTAAAAACACCAGATAAATATAGTTCTTTTAAACATATAACATAATTTAATAATAACCATTTATAGTTCTACTTTCACTGAGTGGTTTAAGCCCAGTATTTATATAGTGTCTGATGTACTGCCCTCCTCACACCTCCATGCACCTCCAGGTTTACTCAACATTATTTGGGTCTACAGAACTTATTCACATCTGAAGTACAGTATCACCACTGTCTGGTATTCCATCCTCTATCTGCTGGTTCTGGAGTTTTAAGACCTGAACTGTTTTAGTTTATATTTTATTTTTATTCCATCACAGGAGAACCTTATAATCGATGCATCCAACAATTATTTTCTTTAATAATGAATTGATTATTCTGTGAAAATTACATGTGAACATGTTATTTCAAAGGACAAAGATGTTGAGTTTACTTTAGATATCATAATATTCTTATTTTAATATTATAATATTCACGTGAGAATCAGATCCAGTTAAGTTTTTACATTTTGCTCAAAATTACTAAAATACTTTCTGTTGTTAAACTAATTATTATTAATTGATTAATGATCTGATCAGTTCAGCTTGAGAGACCTGGTTGTTTTTTGGTGAAACAATGAAACTGTCATATAGTGTGTCAGGAGGTCACTTGTGACAATACATCTTAGACATATTCAGATAAAACCCAGTTTGTTTCAATGTGTTCTCTGTTCATATTCTTAGATATTTTACCTTCATGTCACATTTTAATAATAAAGATCATGTTAATCTTTTGTACATGTTTTAATTTGTGCTGTTTGTGTTTAAACTGAATTTTGTATCAAGATGTTTTATTTTAAAATCTGGCTACACTCATCATTTAACATTGTGATTATAGTGTTGTTAAAGATGACTGACGCTGTGCCCATGAGCAACTGTGTCAGAGACAAAATTAAACAGAATATCATCTACAATTCTACAATCAAACAACATAAGAAATTAACTCATAGTGACACATGTGCAAATACAAATCAATATCCAATCAATAACCTACAAACAAAGACTGTTCAGCTGTGATAGTTCAATATCTTAGTGTTTTCCAGATGTGATAATCTCTCCAACAAGTTCTCAGTCCTTCAGTCACTACCCAGAGCTCTAGACCACAGGTGAGGATGGGGGGCGTAGTTCGTAAATGACAGATTCCTTCTGGCTCCGCCTCCTCTTCACCACGACGGTCCAGTACAACATTGAGTGTTGACACTAACCTGTCAGTCCTGTCTCAGGGTTTTCTTCACAAGTCAGGGTGAGAGGAGGTGCACAGTCAGGTGGGTGTCAGGAGGTAGAGCGGGTCGTCCGCTAATTGGAGGGTCGGTGATCCGATTCCCTGCTCCTCTAGTCCACAAACGCCCCTGTTGTAACATTGCTGTGTGTGTGTGTGTGTGTGTGTGTGTGTGTGTGTGTGTGTGTGTGTGTGTGTGTGTGTGTGTGTGTGTGTGCTTGTTTGTGGCAAGCATAAAGCTCTTCAATAAGACGAGAAAAGCAAATGCAGTCCATTAAAACACAGATCTCAGCCACAGTTAATGTGTGTTAGCTACATGCTAGCAGTTATGTGTTAGCAGCTACAAGCTTGTTTGCTGAATTTAATATCTTCTGGGTGTAGACAAAGTGGGTGTTGTGTCTTGTATAGATCACTTGTGATGACATCACACAGTTTGATGTCATCATGGCGCTGTATGTGTGAAGTTACCTGATGGTGTGTGCAGGGTGAGGGGGAGGCAAGGGGGGGCGTAAAGGGAGGTGAAGGCCATGGTTGGCTGGAACCGCATCACTGAGACAATGCTGGGGTTAGCACTGCTCATCTGAAGCATTGTGGGGGCGGGGTTCATAACAGTGGGGGCGGGGTTAGCACAGCACACAGGGTACACAGTGGTATTGGGGGCGGGGCTGGCTCCAGGAAGGAACACTTGGATGAACTGACCAGTTTCTGGATCCAGCAGCATCTTCCTCTGAGGCTGTGGGGGCGTGTCCACATAGTAGCACTGCCCACTTTTAGGCTCTACCATCACATTACAGGGGGCGGGGCCACTGAGGAGGGCTCCAGATGGTACAGCAGAACCAGTGAAGTCTACGAGGAAGTTACCACTCACCTGTGCAGGTAAGAAACCCTGAACGCTGCACAGAAACGGCTGCTGCTGCATCACTGTGTCGCCGTGCCCCTCCTGGTCTCCTGTAGTCCTGGTCTGCTGAGGGGGGCGGGGCTTAGTAAAGCAGTCCGGCTGGTCCGAAGTGTTTCCAGTCGACCTGTTCTGGTTCTCCTTAGACCTCCTCAGCAGGTGAAGGGTGGGAGCAGGTGGGGGGGGCTGCAACTGGATCTGGATGTAGTTCATGGGGCTGTGGATGTAACTGACCTTCCCCAGGTGAGGGTGCAGGGCGGGGACGGTTGTAGAAACAGGAGTGGAGGAACTGCTGGGGGGGGGCGGGGACAGACTGACAGGACACACCCAGGAGGGAGCACCGTTCCTGGGCAGAGAGCGGAGACTGGGTCCCCCGGCGGTGTTTGAGGGAGGAGTGGAGAGGGAGGCCCTAGCCAGGTGACTCGTACCTCTGGTTCTTTCTGATTGGCTGACAGGTGGGGTGGTGGGCGGGTCAAGTAGCATGGCAGGCCAGGTGACATCATCCACCTTCCTTCTGCTTGTGATTAGTTTGCTGTCTCGTCTCTCCTGTGTCATTGGACGACTCAGTGGGTCACTGTATTTCCTGTCATGTGATTGGCTGAGAGATGCAGCGACCTTGGCGACATGCCCCCTGGATGAGTTGGTCTTCTGACCCTTGACCCCCACAGCCTGTTGGTAGGTGGGGGGGGGGCTGTCCTCCTGACCGATCACCTTGAAGCTTGTTGGTTTGTAGTTCACAGGTGTTGTTGCCGTGGAGAATGAGAGGTTGTAGGTGTTTTTCACTAAACTCCTCACATCTCTCACTGTGTGAACTGGAGCTTTAAACACTCCTCCACCTGCCCCACCCCCCTCCCTCCCTGTCTGCTGGTCTGCAGGTGGGGGAAGGGCAGGTAAGATCTCAGGCTTCTTCTTCAAGTGTGAAGTTTTAGTGTTGCTCTGCTCCACCTGCATCTTCTTGAAGAGGACGCTCTTAATGATGCAAGATGCCATCTTTGTTTTTGTTTCATCCAGAGAGAAAGATTTCTGCAGACGTCTCGGTGCCTCAGAGCTGCCTCCGACCTGAAACCCTGAAATCACAAACAGGATCAGACCAGGACCTGATCAGACACTCAGACTTGAACCTGGTCAACAGACAACAGGTGTTGTTACCTTGGCAGGCCCCTGCAACCAGGCCCCTGTAGACCCTGTAGCTGTCAGCATCACTGCTGTTTGTCAGACGCGTGCAGAAGGATGTGGGCATACTGTGCTGTCGCAGCAATGGATCAGGGCGGTGATGGACAATTGGACAGAACAGCTCATTGGCTGACACCTCCTTGTTAGCTCCTCCCCCTTCAGCAGGTCCATCCTTCAGTATCACCTGGATAGGTAGACAGGTAAACAGACAGAGAGGTTGGAGAGGTGAACAGGTAGAGAGACAGGTAGAAAACAGACAGACAGGTAGAAAACAGACAGGTGAACAGGTCATGGTCCTACCTGCAGTTTCTCCTGGTCATTGATGTTCTCCGTGTCTTTCTTCTTCTTCAGATGTATCTGTCGTTTTGGGACCATCTTTAGACCCTCCCCCTCCTGACCTGCCACCTGGACACGTAACAGGTGAAAACATAGAAGACAATCAAAAATAAAATTGTTGATCCAACAAGCTGACCAGTAATAATAAAATCAATGTAATGTTTTTAGATAATGAATTGTTTTTCCTGCATTTGAAATGAGTTCCTGATTCTTTGATTAAAGGTTTTGATTCTTTGATAATAGTAACAAGCAGCTGTTTGATAGTTGGGTTTGAAGATTGTTGTTGTTAGTTGCTCCTGAGTTTTATAATAGAAAACTGTATCATCAGTATAGAAACGAACTAAAAGGTTGGTGCTCGGGTTACAGAGAGACTTTTCTGTGAAGTGTGAGGGCTCGCTGGTTTTTCCTTTAAACACTATCTCTCATGTTGTCAGGACTCTCCTGGATAATGGAACATCTTACAGGTTTAAGTTTAGACCTCCAGTTTGAATTATTTAGACTTTGTTTCTGAGGAATCAGGTTTTGTCCACCATTTTGGAAGATGGATCAAAATAGTACCCATGAGCCTTGGCTGCTGTTACCATGGAGAAGAATCCAATTAAAGATTTCAATCAGAGCGGTGAATTGTTAACAAAGCCGCTGAATTCTGTCAAAACTGATCCAGAATCTAACAGTGAACTGATTCAAGCTTTAGATTGTTTTACTGACGCTGTCATCTTTAGCTTCCACCCACCATTAGCTGCTCACCTGACAGAATTTCAAGCTCTGTGATTGGATGTTTCTTATGGAAATGCACCTTAATTAACTTTTGTCCACAAGCTTGTACCTTTGAACTGAGATATTGTGTAACACAGTTGTTGAGTCATTTGTTGTGATGATTGAAGCCAAGAGATTCCAACGGAGACGGTCACTAATGTTTTGTGAAAGCAACATGAATTGGGACCTTTAGAGCAGGAACCAGGACAGTCTTAAATACCAGTTCCACTTTATTTGGAAAGTCCACCTCAGAGTTTACAGAGCATTTGTAACATTTCACTAATCTTTGTTGAACAGTCTAATGTCACATATTCAGCCCACAGTGAGGAAACATGGTTAATGTGGTCGATCCACTTCAGTCGTTCAACAGTAAACACGAAGAACATGAAACTGATTAACTCTGACCCTCAATCACATCAATGTGACAATAAAACTCACCTTTGTTTCCACTGTAACGTCAACACACTTGAATGCACACTCTGGGTCTGACTCATCTTCTGATGGGAGGATGACAGATGGAGAGAAATGGAGGGAGAGATCCTCCTCCGACCAGTCGCTTATACTGCCCTCTTCCTCTTCCTCCGAGCGACAGGTGGAGGAGAAATCCAGGTAATTAGCCTCTGATTGAGCTGTACAGGTGAACTCAGGGCTCTTCTCTGCAGGAACTAGCGAAAACGAGGGAGGGATTCGTGTCTCAGAGTCGTGATATGGCAGCAGGTCAACTTCAGGGCAGTGGTGAGCACTAAGGAAGACCTTCCTCCTTCCTCCTCCTCCTCTTCCTCGGTCCACTCTGCTGTTCATAGTTTGCTGTTTCTCTTTAATCGTCTCTCTGGAGAAAATGTGACTGATGAAAGATGAAGACACAGATGTTAAAACCAGCTGTTTTCTTTAGTCCTGAATAACTCTGTCACCGGGTGACTGAACATCAGTAGAAGAAGACTTTATTTTCAATGAACAGCTACAACCAATCAGAGAGGGAGAGTCTTATTGGCTGACAGGTCTCTGACAGTTCTTCAGTTGATGGAGTCACATGTTAGAAACGTTAGCTCACAGTCAGGGTGAGGACAAAAGGGACATTTTAATCAAAGGGGCTGAAGCACAAACATTGTCTCATACTGAAGAAAACGGGGGTCAGCATAATTTGCCCAGATAATAAATTATAAACATATATGATTATAATTTCAGTGTCTTTGTGTTTCCACAGGTAACATTGTGTTGTAATGTTTTCTGGAAAGTTCACTCTCACTTCTGGAAGTTAGAAGTTTTCTTCTTGTAATGACACATGACGAGTGGCTGAATATTCATGTTCATCCAAACGCTTCCTTCTACAGTGTGAAGCAGAAGAACCTGGACTCAGTCACTGGTGTC